TAAACTCCTTTAGCACCTGGATAAGTCTGTGCCTACCTGTGGCAGGCTGGTCAGAGCAGCTATGCTCCAGGTGCTCCAATGCTTGAGGCTTACCCTCACAGCATCAGAATTGCCCTCCATGTAGCACACTGCGTTTGTGCATATAGCTCTGTCCAGAAGCTCCAGGGAAGAGGGGGGAAAAAAAACCCAATCCTGTGCTCATGCCAGTGCTGAAGCGTAATAACCTTGATCTTGCCATGGTCCAGCTTGCAAGGTATCTCAGGAAAGGACAGTTAATGTTCATTCCTTCACTTCTGTGAGAAGTGCAGTGCCTTTCCAGGCATACAAAGTAGCAGTGCATTCAGAAGGGAAAGAGCTGCCTGTGTTTAGATCCTGGTCTCTAAGGTCATATCTGGATCATTCTGTATAGTAGCTATCTACTTACTGTGCTATAGGCAGGTGTAGTGTGAATTCCCGGTCAACGAAGAGATGTGAAAATGCCAGGTAGTTGGAACAAAGTTAAAGGAATTGTTACCAGACTTTCCTATGGGTCTGATAAATTGTGGTCAGGATGGGGAGAAAAGGACGACTGTGTAATTTAAGTGAAAGAAAAAAATTGTTTGTATTTTAACACCAAGAGCTGTGCTTTGTGACGGTGGTGAGAATAAATACACAGGATCACAGTGTAAAGTTTGCTTTAGGGGAGTGTAGGACCTGGAAAGTATTATTTGCTCTAGCAAACCCTTCCTTGGGGGGAGGCCCAAACCCACAAGTATGTGAGTTGAAAAATGGTTTGCAAGCATAATCCTAATTATTTTTTTTTTTCTAGTGATGTGAAAGGTTTGAAAAACAACAGCTATGAAAGTTAGGAGGTTTGCCCTGATGAGACCGAGAAAGTAAGCAAGCATTCACTGCTGTTGAAAACTGCCTACCCTAATAAGGTTCAGTAATTATATTATAAAACTGATGCCAGCATTTTAAACACTTGGGCAAAGAGTGAAGGAGATTCATATTCAAAGGGAAGAACCGCAATATGAGTTGCAGAGATAATTTTAAACAAATATTTCAGAAGTACTTCAATTCAGTTTTCCAAGTCAATTTAATGATGTCCCTGAGCCTACTAACACATATTCTGGTACAGTGGAGATCATTGGGTGCAAGTAGAGTCATTGCCCTGTACAGGGATGGACTGGGTGTTGCAGGAAGACATGCTCAATCTCTGCGTGTGCTCTGGACGAAAGCTGCACAGCCAGGATTAATCAAGTAGTAAGCCTGAGCTGTGCTAAGAGGCGAGTATGTTACCCCAAGCACACTCTCTTGAAAGAAGAGTCTAGTTATTGGCCATCTCCAAGTAAAACTGTGCCTGACAGCAAGCAAAAACACTGTAAGGACATACTGATAGGTACTATTTGTTATTTTTCTGCCTTGGTAGTCTTTATACTCTGTCTCTCTTCTTTTGTACTTAAACCATGTTTGATAATGGTATTTCTACATCTGTACTAGCATGGTACCATCATGCTGTATAACAGCACTGACTGGGATGGCAGCTGAACAGGTAGGTTGGAAAACCCATTACCAGCGTGGGAAGCTGAGCCAGTTTTCCCCACTCTGGTGGCGAGTGCTGACTGCCTGGTGACTGCTTTGCCAAAAGGTTGCCACATGCCAGTCTCTCCACGCTTTCTGTGCGTGCATGATCTGACGGCTGGGTCTCATACTAGCTCTCAGCTTGTATTACATCTTCACCATCTTGTTCTGATGCACTTGAGCTCTCCAAGTGCTGATACTGCAGAGCCATGCTGGAAACACGAGCTTGTGCTCTAGGAAAAAGCAATTATGCGCTAAACACCAGTTTCTCTTCTCGGGAGAGCACCTTGAATGAAAGCCAGGCTTGAAAACAGAAGTGGACCTGACTAGCAGTGGCTGCAATGAGTAACGAAGCTCAGTTTCTCTGCGAGTTGGGTCTTTTGTCCCTCTCTGCAAAGGCCCAGCCTTGCTGGCTAGGAGGTGTTTGGAGAGTGGCAACACATGTTTTCTGGAGTGATGTCCAGGAATTGGATCACGAAATACTCCTATCTGCTAGAAAAGTATGCGCACTCCAGGTTTAGAGGTAGGTCTAAATCTTTCTTGAACTCCTTCATGCTGAAGAAGAGAATGCTTTAATAACAAAATAAAAAAAAATGCAAAATCAGCTGCAGCTATTTTGCTACACCAGCAGTCATTCAATACAATTGAAAGCATGGTGGGTTCTGAGTATGAATAAATATTGAATTAAGTCTTATGACACTTTTATCCATCACTGAGTTCAGTTTTAAATAGCACTTATGCAATGATCTTTCAGACAGACTGCCTTGAATTGCATGCCTTCAGATGATGTATTAGTAATTTTTTTTTAGGTTAAGCCTTCTGGAAGCTTGACCAGACAACTACTAAATGTTAAAGTTTGGGCCATCTGTGGAGACCTGGACAGGTACCCAGTTTTCTACATGACTAGACACAATGAAATAAAATACCCAGGAGGGCAGGTGGTAAAGACAACAGAAACTGATAAATTGGAAAATGTGGCCAACCCAAGCAAAATTTAAAAAAGCCTGGGCAGTGAGCCAAAACAGCCATTATTCATAGTGCTGTAGTTGAGATTAATAATGTGTCGTGTAATGTTTGTTCCTGTTTAGTTATCCCCTATGTAGCTGTTATTAGCTGTTTCCAAAGAGTGTCCAAAAGTGTGCCACCCTTTCAATATCCGGTGTTGCCGTATGCAGCTCGTGGCAGCTGCGTTGCTTTGTGCCGAAGGCAGAATGATGCAGGCTGTGAAAGGGGCAACATCTGTGTGTGCCATTTATCTGTTTCCTTCTGATAATTAATGTCAGCACAAAGAAGTCCATTGTTTCTTCTGAAATAAGAACTTCCCACTCTTTACATATAACATTTGAATTCTCTCTAACTTAAGCCACATCTTGTCTTCTACATGAGAATATATTTATTGGTGTGAACCTCTCAGATTGCCTAGGTGGAAAAGCATGTGGGTTGCTTTTCTTTGTGATTTTTTTTTTTATGATTTAATAAACCATAAATTATGCTGCCTTGGAGTAGGGTGGACAGGATGAGGTGTCTTGCGGCTTTTTCTTTCTATAGCTTCAAGGTAATTATTATCATACTCTGTTTTACAGTAGCACCTGGAAGCACCAAGCAACACTCTGCAGACGAGCTGATAAAACACAGGGAAGACACCCTGTTCCAAGTAATACTGAGCTGACCTAAGTGAAGAATGAGGAGGACGATGTTGTCTCTAGCTCATGGTTGGGCACCTGAGGCACTGTGTTAGAGTGACATTAAGGCTGTGCAGGAGGCCTTTGCAGAGCAGAGAAGCAAATTTGGATTTTCAGTGTTGGAGCTGAGTGGCTTGGAGAGGGGGCATTGCATCTCAGTTATGTCCAGGTTAAAGAAAGAGGTGATGGTTAAGAATAAAATCAGGGTCTGCGTTTGGATTCTAGTTTCTAGAGCATGTAGTTCTGGGTTTTTGCCTTGGACCCCATTTTTATTCATCAAAAACATTTATAGTGTGCCTCAGAGCTGCAAGGTTTTTGTGTTCTGGAGTTTTCTCTGCTGATTCTGCTGGTGCCAGTTTGGTTCTTAATCCTCATCCACTGTGAAATGTGGAAATATATATGCAAATATACTTCAGTAGCTTTTCACTGCTGTTGATCCATTTAAAATCCCCTGACCTTCCACAGCAGCGCTATGGCTATTCACTGTGAGCACATAGACTCTGTCAGCATAAGGGCCTGAAGAGCATCCAGCACTGCTCAGATCTCTTACTGACATTTCTCACCTCTATGCTGACAGCAAGAGGGGCAGATTTAGCCTGTCGCAGCTGGAGCCTTCACTCTGTGCAGAGCTGACGCTGGCCTGACAGCAAAGAGCTCTGCACAGATGTCACCCCCCAGGTGCCACCACGTGGGGCTGGTGCAGGTGCACGGTGCTAGTCCTCAAAGGGCTTCCCGCTTGACACCTGAAACTGCAGAAACCATTGCTTCATATTCCTCTTTGCTGAAATAACGGGCAGGCTCGCAGAAGGCATGTTTTTGTGACGCACGTTCCAGTTGTGCCGCTGTCCTGGTGCAGCCCGGAGCGCTGCACAGCCCGGCGAGCCTTGCGCTTTGGCTTGCCGCCTGCGTGACGGTGGCACCCAGCTGTGCTCTGGTGTACTGAGAGATGCTGAACAGGAAACCAGTATTTCTTCATCCACTTTTCCGCTCAAAATGCAGCGCTCGCAGTTAGCAGTGAGATCCTTTGCTGGAAAAGGACTCCAAGGTGGCAGGCACAGTTCGGTCCCTCTTAAGGCATTCTGGCCTGCAATTAAGCGGAAAATACAGTGAACACTTTTCTAGTCATCATCAGACACCTATTTGCTCCACCTGCGAGTAGGTCCAGGCGCTTTGTCCCGAGACTCGGCGCTGCTGCTGCCCGCTTTGCCCTGCGCGTTCGGAGCGCGGACCTCTGCCCTTCTCCGCAGCGCCAGACGCGGCCTCCTAAAGCTCGCTCAGCCGGTGCGGCTGCTCTCTGTCGTCGTGTAATTCAAACTTGGATGATGATTTCCCTCCTTTTCCTCTTGTTCCCATCTCCCTAGATGGCAGCGAGCGTGCATGTCTGGCTGGCGCAGCG